CAGCAGCAACAACCGCAACAACAACAACAACAACTACTCCTGCTGCTGCTGCTGCTGCTGCTGCTGCTGCTGCTGGCTTGCCCTTTGTCGAATGTTACGTAATTCCTGCTGCCGCCCTCAGCCTACGACCTCTACGAGTGGATATCGCTCAGTGGAGACGAGGCCGGTACGGTGTGCAGTTTGCCAAACCTAGAAACCACTATCGATTCAAGTCCGCCGTCTTCAACCCTCAGCCCCAAGCCCCGACGTCTTGAATTTCAGACCTCCAGCCGAAACTTTCCTGCAAGTTGGGCATCGGGACTTTGAAAGCCAACGAAACATGTGCATGCATGTGCTCGGGCATGCAGTCTAACATGTCCGGTGTATATACCCATACTGACATCATGGTCGTCAGCATCATCGTCGCCATCATCACCGTTTTATTATCGTCATCACCACTACCATCACCATCGCCATCACAATCGCCATCACCCTCAGCATCATCATCATCATCATCATCATGACCAGTATCCTTGTCACACTCGTAGTCGTCATCTCCTCCTCATCATCATCATCACCGATACCTCCGTCATCAGTATCATAGTCGTCATGCTCACCTTCATCACCACACACAACCCAACTCCCCAAACCCTTACTTCCGTGACAAAGCATCTCAAGCTCTCGATGCCTGATGAAGGCTTCTGAAACCTCAAAACCATCGCTGCCGCGCTCTGGTTTAACATCGCCAGGTCATAAGCCTCCTCTTCAGCTACACCAAGCAAATCGGGACGGAGGACTTGCTGGAGCCATACCAGCAAATCAAGGTGCCGTATTGGCTGTGTGACTTGCTCTTCCCTCTCGGTGTGACGTTTTCGGGGAAGGAGGGTCTGATGCTTAAAGCTTGCTTTCTGTTGTCGGTTGGGAATGGTCCGGCTGTCAGGGTTGTCGGCTTTGTTTGCGATTTTGGGGACTTGTTTCTGGTTGGGTCGGGGGGTTGAGGGTGTTGGGGTTGAGTATTGGCCCCACATGACAGCCACCGTAAGCACACGAACCACCCAAAACCCCATAAACCCTAATCCCCAAAACAGCAAACTGAACCAATAGTTTTCAAAATCCGCCAACAAGAGAAATCCGAAACCTGAAGCCCCCTTCGGGTGGAGAGGTGAAGCCGGCTCGGACAGTGCATTTGGAGCCTCGGCCCTGAACAGGGTGCAGGTTTAAGGTAGTTCGGGTTTACCAGTTTGGGGTCTGAAGGTCTGGGCGGTCCCTCCATCAACAAAAACCCAGGCCTCTCCACAGTGCAAGCAGTCACACGGATGGTTCTCGTCCGCGTCGCCATCCTCGCAACTGCCGACTTTTTTTGGTCCTTTCTGCAACTCTCTTCTGAAGGTTAACTTTATGAGTGAAGCTGTGATGAATTGCTATCGTGTCACTGGTTCGGGCCTCCCTTTTGCTGTTGCCATGCTGCTGCCATGTCATCTCACCATTGCTTTTTATCACTGATGCCGCTGCTCGAGCTCGTATTAGGACTATGTACATCCGACTACTGCATACTAAGCCGAAGAGTCTTGCTTTGCAATTTAGGTCATAAGGATACGGTGTCTACCCCAAACCTGCCCCAAAGAGCAGAGCAGGCTCCAAAACGTCCATACTGACTTGTGTTGTAGCCTTATCCCGTAAGCCCTCAACCACAAAATCTTGCATGGAACGGAACTTAGGCGAGTTATCGATCTCCTCCCAGGTTTGAGAAAGAACCGCAACAACCTACATAAGGTTTAAGTCGGAACACGCTCGAACCAGTCGGCATCTTAAACCCCACTCGCCCCAACTTGCCGAACCCCAACGGCCCAACATCCTAAAATGACTTGGAGACTGATGCCCTCTTGCGGGTTGCCCTGCGTCCTTAGAGTTCCACTCATTGCAGGAGGTGGGCCAGCACGGCTGGGTAGTGAATCTCCTAGCTCCAGACCCTACTCCCTCCAGCATTCAGGTTTGGGGCGTATTACGTGCAGCTCAAGCACGACGCTGGCCCTACACCCCGCCCAAACACCCCAAGACGCCAACACCTCAAGCTTGAGCCTCGTCTACACGCGCATTGAAAAAGTAACTCCAAACCCTTAATTCCTGAGCCTTGACTGATCCCGCCAGCTACATGTGAAGTCGAGGATGGCCTTAGATTTGGCTTCTGCATTGGGCGCAGCGCCACGGGGTGTCTGGACGCACATCAGGTTTTCTGCATGTTACATGTTGCTTTACTGCTACGACCAGGACGAGGGCGACGACGACCACAACCTTCGGCAATTGCTGCTACGATGCCACCACCACTACCACCACCACACCACCGCCAGAGAACGACAATTGCGGCTCCTACTTATACTACTGCACGTTTTCCGACTCCGTACTCCTACTACCACGAACAACAACAACTACTACTATTACTACTTCTGCTGCTACTACTAGTACTACTACGACTACCACCACTAGTAGTGGTTCGTGGTTGTCGTCGTCGTAATAGTAATGGTACTAGCAAGAGTAGGAGTAGTAGTACCAGAAGTAGAAGAAGCAGTAGCAGTAGTAGTAGTGGTGGTGGTGGTGGTGGTGGCGGTGGTGGTGGTGGTGTGAATAGTCGCAGGCTCAGCCGCAGTTGAGTGTGGTAGTCGTAATCGTAGCTCTAGTAGTATTGGTCGTCGCCGCCGTCGTAGTGGGAGTCGGAGGAGTCGTAGTAGTAGTCGTCGTAGTCGTCGTAGTCGTAGTCTTCGTCTATTTTAGTAATAGCAGCAGCAGCAGCAGCAACAGTAGTAGTAGAAGTAATAGAAGAAGTAGTAGTACTAGCAGCACTACTGCCGCTACTATTACTACAACTACTTCGACGACGACGACTACGACTGCTATTAAAATGACGACGACTATCACGACTGCTGCTACGTCGTCACAACGACTACTACAAGTACAACTACAACTAAAGCCACCGGCCAACTAACCAACTAGGTTGGTGGCTGGCTCCAGCCTTATTAGGATTGTAAAACTGCGCGGTCTATTATGCCTGTATTATTTTTGTCATTTTAATTTTGTTTGTTGTACCTGCCTGGCTTCGACTTCCTAGACCACCTATGCAAGCCCCGCAGTAGAAGAACGAAACGTCCTCAAGGATTCGTCAGCATGATGACATTTCCTCAGATCTTTTGCGGACCACGCGAATGCGGAAAGGTGTCTGATTCTAAGGTATGACCGCCTGTGCAAGTACCTTGAACAAGCCACAAACGCCCCAAGCAGGATAGAGCATTGGGACGACATGGAGCGCTTCCTGCAGCAGGCACGGTGCGATGGCAGCTTCCAACCTGAAACGGATTGTGTTGAGAGCTTAGGGATGCTTAGTGTATGGTATGGGTTTGGGGACATGTTAAGACTGTTTCATGTTCTCATGCAGATACCTTCTATCTTTTAAGGAGTCATGAACTTTCTGTCTCAGTGCCTCCTTGAGATCCTTGAGTAGTCAGCAGTTGGCCTCCTGACCAAGCGAGGCGATTTTTCGTAGCTTGCGCTGCATTCCAGAAGATCACGTGGCCGGACTGCACGAAAGCTCCACGCAAGACCCTAAACCATCCTTCACCACCTTGACTTGAAGTGTCCCGATTGCTGAGGACTTCCTCCTCACAGAGCCGCCCTTTAACACCCCAGAGAACCGGGAGCTGATGGCCGAGATGATGACCGAGCCCTCAGGAAGTGGAGCAGTTGTAAGGTTGCTTTGCGGTGCCCTCCCTGCCTTTCCAAGGTTCGAGACCTTCAATGTGCCTGACCTACGCTAGCACTTGCAAGCTGCCTGCATGACGGCACTCTAGGCCTTTTAGGCCCCAAGTAGTTTTGAGGTCAACGGCCTCTACATCGGCGTGCAGGCCGTTCTGGCCTTGTACGCTCAAGCGGATGGAGCCTCAGTTTCTTGGAATTGCTTTCCGAACAACCTGTAAGCAGTGACACCCAGGTCACCGAGGAACAGTACGAGGGCAGCAGCCCGAACCTGACTGGCTTGGTCGTGGATTCCGGGGACGGCCTTGCACCCAGACCGACATGAAGCACTTAGGGCCATTGGCCATGTTGTGACTCGAGGCCTCTCTCACGTGATCCCAGTGGCAGACGGCTACGTCATCACCTCCTGCATTCAGGCTCTGCCGTGCTATGCCCATTCGGAGCCTGAGCGGTTACTGTGCTTTGTTAGCATTACCGGCTCAGTGTCATGTTGGAGAATGTGTCTGGGGTTCTGCAGTAAAAAAAGCTGGTGCCCGAATGTTGTCGGGTCTTCAGCTATTTGGCTCACCGGCATTTGTTCCCCTTCCGTGCTCTGTGCCGATCCCTCAGTGGGGAATCCAGGGTTTCTTGTTGGGCTGGCTCTACAGCAAAAAGAGATAAGGGCACGCAGCTTTCAAGCAAGTCTCAGGGCAACTATTGCAGCCGTCGCTGGAGTAGGGCCAAGGCATCCTGCCACAGCTTGGTTTCAGCAGAACCCGGGGCGTGAACCCCTTTCTTTTCGCCGAACGGTTCGTGGTTCGACATCGACGTGAGACTTGGACATAGAGGGAACGATACTTGTAACAATTGTATCAGCTATAGTTGCTGACAGATCATAGCCACAACAGTCATGGACGGCACAGCCAGATCATGCCTTTGGAGCATGACGCGTCTGACTACGCATGACTCAGAAGCGCATGATGGATTTATGCCACGCCCCATGTGTTCCAGAGTCGATGCATCTCCCAAGGCTTGCCCAAATGGCTTCGCAGGCCTCCCAGAGGCAGAGACCAGGCGAACTTGGGACTTGTCTGGCCATGCCATGCAAAGAAAGAAGGGTCACCAGGACTCCGGCGCAGCGGCCGCCTTGCTGCTCTCCTTGCAGCTGCCTTGGCATGGGCAGGACTTGCAGGCAGCTGGGGTCCCGATCTCTAGTCTCAATGATGAGCGTGATGAGATGTATACTCGAGCGGTGCCAAGAAGCCGATCAAGAGCTTCGTTCTCATAGCGAGTCATCGCCATAATCCAAAGTCACCATCAGCATCATCATCTTCTTCTTCACTGTCATCTACGTCATCACCATCATCATCATCATAATCGCCGTTATCATCATCATAATTATCGTTATCATCACCATCATCATCATCATCATCACCATCATCATCACCATCACCATCAACATCATAATCTGCTTCTTCACTGTCAGCTACGTCATCACCATCATCACCATCATCATCACGATTATCATCAACATCATCCTCAGCTTCAGCATCATCTTAATCATCATCTTCATCAGCATCATCATCATCATCGTCCTCATCGCCATAGTCATCACCATCATCACAACATGATGATCAGCATCATCATCGTCATCATGCTTCTTCGTCACCACCCATTAAGAATACGTACCGCTAGGAATGCTGCTACTGATGCCACCAGCCAACCGACATTACCAACCTATAAACCAACGGGCAGTACTGTAGTAGTCGTCGTCGTAGTAGTGGTGGTGGTGGTGGTGTTGGTGGCAGCAGCAGTAGAAGTAGTAGTGGTGGTAGTGGTGGTGGTAGTAGTAGTAGTAGTAGTAGGAGGAGGAGGAGGAGGAGGAGCAGTGGTAGTAGTAGTAGTAGTAGTAGTAGTAGTAGTACTAGTAGTAGTAGTAGTAGGAGTTTTAGTCGCAGTGGTGATTGTACTGGTAGCAGGTGTAGTAGTCGTCGTCGTCGTAGTAGCAGTAGGAGTAGTAGGAGCAGTAGCAGTATTTGCATCAGCCGTAGAAGTAGAAGTAGAAGTAGAAGTAGAAGTAGAAGTAGAAGTAGTAGTAGTAGTAGTAGTAGTAGTAGTTAGTAGTAGTAGTTAGTAGTAGTACTTAGTAGTAGTAGTAGTAGTAGTAGGAGGAGGAGGAGGAGTAGGAGGAGGAGGAGTAGGAGTGGGAGTCGGAGTAGCAGGAGCAGGAAGCAGCGTTCGCAGTAGCAGCAGTAGCAGTAGCACCAGCAGCAACAGCAGCAGCAGGTGGTGATGGTGCTGGTAGTTGCGGCACTGGCAGTGGGTGTACTCGCATGCACGAAGTCCTCAACAAACTCCGGTTCGCCTTGGAGCTACACTCTTTGTTTCAGCCTTTAGCATTCTCTTCGCCATGGAAAGTGATAGAATGGGACAGAGTTTCTAGTGCAGCTTCTGGCACAAGCCTGACCGAAAGAGCCTTTCGTGTCAAAAGAGAAGATTGAAGGCTGAAGCGGAGAGGGCTCCATGTGAGCAGCCATTCGACAAGGGTTTGTCGATCTAAACAGCCGACACCTGAAGCAATACATCCCCACAGCTTTAAAACTCCAAAATTGAGCCCGCAAGCCGCAAGCAGTTTTATAAACACCTATGTTTTCGAATACTCCGTGGTGGTGGTGGTGGTGGTGGTGGTCGTGGTGGTGGGCTTTTCGTGGTAGTAGTAGATTTAGCAGTAGTAGCAGCAGTAATACTCAGCAACAGTAGTTAGCTTCGTCGTCGCAGTTGTTGCTACTGTGGAGTTTAGCTTACAGTCAGCGAAGGTTTGCAATGACTAGCACAGTTCCACACTGCGACAAACCACGATCCACTCTCTTCATGCAGTCACTGTTCCATTTCCTGCGGGTCGCTGCATCGTGCACATCTATGTCTGTCCCCTGGGAAGGAGTCTCCAGCATTTCAAAAGTCTTCGTGCAGCCGAGCCAACGCGTCCCTGTTCAGGCAGCAAGGGTGCCTGGGACTTTGGCCAAGCTTTGCTGGGAATGCCAATCTGCCCCTCTTCGCTTTCTCTCGGTACATTCATTGGAGGATGGATGTAGAAGCCACTCAGAGCTTACATCTGCCTCTTGAGCAGCAGTTTCCTGCACCTGCAATGTGAACTCTGCCCCGCCGGAAGAACCTCCACCAGAAGACATCTCGTCGGGAGGTTTTGCGACCCCCACTGAATAGAGCCGATCACAATCGCATGCGTGACGACGGCTTGTCGTTCCGCCGCTCTGCTGCACTCGAGGGCCCGGGTCCAATGTGCAAGCCAGGGCCACGGTTGAGGAAACATCTGCAGCATCGATCTCTAATCATCTAATATCTACAAATTTCTACAAGCTCGTTTTGAAGTAGGTTATCAGTCTTGAGGTACCAGGTACGGCAGGTCCTAAACAAAGCTAGAGTCAGGAAGAATGCAATGGTCAGGTCTTGCCGGAACCTCCGCTGGCCTCGTCCTTGCCCTGGGCGGAAGCCTGGCAGTGCACCGCCTTGGCGGCCGGACTGCGCGCAAGTCCCGAGGCTGGAGGAATTTCCATGAAGTCCGGAAATCCGAACCTGGAAAAGCCCTCTCATCCGTCAGGTTCAGGAGTGCACAGGAACTGATGCTTCCACCGTGTTCGACGGGCTTCCGCATGTTGTTTGCGAGCGTCAGGAAAATGCACTTGAACATGAGTTTATGTATACGTACTATACTGCTGTACAAGCACGCATGCACGTAGATGTTTGTCATCTGCAGGTGGCTTCGATGCAGGAGCGGACCTGCATCTGCCGGAAGGATGCACCCTTGGAGATCTCTCCCCGGAGTGCGTGAAGCATTGGGCAACACCTTGTCCGAAGCTGAGACACTGTACTGTGTGGCTGTTTGCCGCTGTGCGTGCCATGAGTCTGAGCAGTGCAATATCTCTGCCGGCTACTGCAAATGCAATGACGACAGAAGCTTCTCGTGATGAGCCTTGCAACTGACTAGTTGACTAGTTATTGCGATTGTCGTTGCTGCTCGTGCAGCTATCGCTGATACTTGAGTACGCTTAGGAATATGTTAACTGAGGTAACGGACATTTCCCTTGAAGCTGGTACGGGCGATACGTTAGTGACACAAACAGCGACTTGATAACCAAGGTTCCAACCTGACAATCGGCGTGCTGAAGGACTTCTGAACCGGAGTCTATTGAAGTAGATGCACAATGATGCACATGCGCATTTATGCATATATATATATATACACCTATATTATATGTATAAATATATATATATATATATGTACCTACCTACCTGCCTACCTGCCTACCTGCCTACCTGCCTACCTGCTACCTGCCTGCCTACCTGCCTACCTGCCTACCTGCCTACCTGCTACCTGCCTGCCTCCCTGCCTACCTGCCTACCTGCCTACCTGCTACCTACCCTGCCTACCTGCCTACCTGCCTACCTGCCTACCTGCCTACCTGCCTACCTGCCTGCCTGCCTACCTGCCTACCTGCCTACCTGCCTACCTACCCACCCACCTACCTACCTACCTGCCTACCTACCTACCTACCTGCCTACCTACCTACCTACCTACCTACCTACCTACCTACCTACCTACCTTTCTCTTTATCCATCATTCTACCTATCTATCTATCTGTCTAT